AAATTAAAAAAAAGTTTAAAAAATTTTTAAAACCGACCTACCCTACCTAAGTTTTTACAAGAAGAAATAGGAAACCCACATTTTTTTGGCCTAACTGTGTAACAGAGTCGTAACAATAATTTATCAACCGTCAATGCATTTGTAGGCAAAAAAATTTAGCTATATTACATGAAATTTAAGACAAAAAAAGTTTCAAGATCTAAGATTTCCAACTACAAAAGGTGAGCATATGTTAGTAACCTAACACGGCTCCCCCCTCCCCCTCGCCCCAATATTTCGCGATATTAGCATTCAAGGACTAAATATACGATCTTGTTGTTCGTATTTAGATGTCAACGAATGTGCGAGTAGTCAAACAAATATTTGTGACAGGAACGCAATTTGCATGAACACCATAGGATCTTATACTTGTTCCTGTAATGCAGGCTATGAGAAATCTGTCGATGGCTGCCAAGGCAAGTAATAATCGTTGTGATAGAATTATTTAGTGGAAATAAAGCAAGCCCAGTTTAGGTTTCCTCCTTAAATAACACCATCTTGTTCGATAGAACTACCAGTTGAATGGTTTTTGTATATGCAAATTTCGACCAGGAATTGTTGTTAACTGAACTCTGTCGCTCAGAGTTCGCAACCACTCCTGGTTAAGTCATTTCATCCCTAGCAATCAGCAAGATGGTTTATTGTTCTTCGATGTGGTCGAATACTTCTGTTTCCAACGTAAAGAAAGTTCAGTCGATCCAGAAGTTTGCATGCAGGATTATCACGAAATCCAGAAAGTATGACCACGTAACTCCTCTTCTACGTCAACTAATTTTGGCTACCAGTGGACAAACTACAAATTGTTAAATTGACTACCAGTGGAGAAACTACTATACTTTAGAGACGCGGTTCTGACATACAAATGTGTAAATAACTTTGCATCCGATTACATGTGCAATAAGTTTAGAAAAAAGGTCATCAATCCATAAACGTCAGACTAGCATACAGGACTCTCTGCAAATACCACTCTTCAAAACTGCAGCTGGTCAACGGTCGTTTGCCTACAGGGCTGTCTACATTTGGAACAATTTGGACAAAAACCTGAAAGAATTCCCTTAAAGCACTTAAAAAACATTTGCTTGCTAAGGAGAACGTTTAATAATTTACTAGACTTTGTGCATGGTCATAAATAATTGTAAATAATTTCTGAAAAACCCTTTCAGGGAGAAATTTTATTAAATATCTAATCTATCAAATTTAGGTCTGAAAATAGACAACTTGCATGGTAGACTAATTTTTGATCTAGGCAAAAAAAATATCCCGTAAAGAACTTATTAAAATTAGTAAAATTGCAAAATTTGGTTACGAAATGTTGTAAAATGCAGAAAATATAGCCTCGCGAAGTTTGCATATTTTCAGTATGTTTGTATTATACGTGCGGAAATTGTTACCATTTTTGAGCCGAAAATAGTAACAATTTCCGCACGTATACGTAATACAAATATACTGAAAATATGCAAACTTCTCAAGGCTATATTTTCAGTATTTTACAACATTTCGCAACCAAATTTTGCAATTTTACTAATTTCATTATGTTCTTTTTAACTGTTGTGTTTGATTCCCTTCTCTTTACTTAGATTAACATTTAGTCTAACATGCAAGTTGTCCATTGTGTATAAACTTTCACTGGAAATTTCCATTAACCAAAGCCATTCCTCCTTGAATAACACTACACCAATATAACCTTTACCAAACCACCAAGAAGAACAGCTTAGACCTATTAAGAACTATTAGATAACCGATAGAACTATTCAGTGTATATAAAGTTTAATTTAAGGAATAATGTATTTTTCTTTATATAGACGTCAACGAGTGTGACGCTGATGAAGGCTCTGCTGAAAGGTGTACTCAAAATGCTGTATGTATAAACACTGACGGCAGTTACAACTGTGAATGCAGGCAAGGCTACTTTCCGTCCGGAGACAATGCCACGTGTCGTGACGTCGATGAATGTACTAGTATTTCAGGTGTTTGCGGAAATGGGAAATGTTTGAACGTGCCCGGAACTTACGAGTGTGAATGTGAATTTGGATATCTGCTTACAACCGATCGTAAAGGATGTGAAGGCGAGTATTGAATGTTATTCAGTAATGGATAGTTAAGCCATGAGGATGAGAGCTGAGAAGCGAGAGATTGCATGAGAATTTTCTTAACTCTCATGAATTACCCATGCATGGTCAAACGAGAACAAGAGTTGCATGGGAGTTGATGAGAGTTGACTGGATATCACTGATCAAATTAGCAAAAACTCTCGTCATCTCATTAAAATTTCATCTCGTTAATGGGTGATTCTAGCTATAGATTAAATTTTGATCAAGGCAAGAAGAACGAAATCCAACACCACAGCTAGAAAGATCGTCTTAGAATGAGTAAAACTGCAAAGATTGGTTGCTAAATGTTATAAAATGAAGAAAATATAGCCCTGTGAAGTTTGCAAATTTTGTATATATTTGTATTACGCGCGGTAAAAATAACCACTTTCGGCTCAAAAAAATGGTTATTTTTTACGCGCGTAATACAAATATATACAAAATTTGCGAACTTCACAGGGCTATATTTTCCACATTTTACAACATTTCGCAACCGAACTTTGCAATTTTACTCATTTTAAGATGCTCTTTCCAGCTATGGTAATGGTTTCGTTCTTCTTGCCTTGATCAAAATTTTGTCTTTTGCTGCAATCATCCATTATATTACGTTTTCTAGTTCAATAATGGACCATTTGCATTATAGACTAAATTTTGATCTAGACAAAAATTTCATCACAGCTTGAAAGAGCATCACAAAATTAGTAATATTCCGAAGTTTCGTTGCGAAATGTTGCAAAATGCGGATAATATAGCCATGCGAAGTTTGCCGTTTTTCAGTTATTTTGTATTACGCACGGGAAATCGACAGCCCAATCGGGTGTTGGGGCATCAATTTCCCGTTTGTAATACAAAATGACTGAAAATTGCAAATTTCGCAAGGCTATATTATCCACATTTTACAACATTTCGCAACGAAACTTTGGAATATTACTAATTTTGTGATGCTCTTTCAAGCTGTGATGAAATTTTTGTCTAGATCAAAATTTAGTCTATAATGCAAATGGTCCATTGATTCTCGTCCTAATTTCAATATCCCTAGACCTGAACGAATGTGAAGCTATGAAAGAGTTCTGTCATCATGGACGATGTGTAAATATTCCTGGATCATTTCGATGTATTTGTAACAAAGGATTTCAACTCAATCGTTACAACAACAACTGCACAGGTAGACACAAACTACGCCGAGTAACAAGCAGAATAATTTCTTGCAAATGATGTTTGTGATGTTAGACATCAGATGGATTTGGTCAAAACAAAGTTTAAAACAAAGTTTAAACAAAACATGTAAATCACATTACAGAATATATTAAATACAGATCTACAGAAAACTGTAGCAAATACAACAAAATATATGCAACAATTATGGAATAAGATAAGAATTAAAAGTACTGTCAATGTCTTCTTTAGACAGGCAAAGACAGATAGAGTTAAACATAGGAAAAAGTTCATTAGGTACGATTCCCAGCGCAGTGAAGCAATTTTTCAGCTTGCAATATGTACAGTAACTTGGAATAACATTATCTGAACTTAGGACTTAGGTAGTTTGATGTCATATATTGCAGATACAAATGAGTGCGCCGAATCAGGGATGTGCTTGAACGGACGATGTGTGAATGAAATGGGGAAATATCGCTGCGAATGTGACCAGGACTTTGAACCAAATCCAACCAACACCGCATGTATAGGTGAGTTTGTATCGGTTTTGTATCGGATTCTGCAGATGCCTTGTATATGTTCATGCTTACGCGATTTTTGAAAAGCAATATCGTTAATTAGCGATGTCAATGTTGCGCAGGGAACAAAAAATTCGAAAAGAGTAAGCGCGTGGTCCCCCAAAGCGCGGTGCCCTTGGCATATGCCGCTTCTGCCATATGGTTAATTATTATTATTATTATTATCATTATCGTTCTGCTTGTCCCCAATAGGGCTTTTGAGAATACATTTACAGATCACAAATAATGTTTATCTTAAAAACTGTTTTTATTTACAATTGTGTTAACTATTTTATAAAAATTGGATAAAATCACCTATAACATCTACTTCTTAGTTGGTAAGGATATATTTCTTAAGTTCTGTAGTGATTGACAGTTAAACATAGTTGATAGAATAAATTACAATAGGCGGGAAAATATAAGGACACATGTATTAGGGCGCCAGGAAGAAACATTGAGTGTATTTAGTAAGGAACTGGAAAGATAATAATAAGATTGTTTGATTACTACATTGGCGACGAGGATAAATTATGGCGATGAATGGCTTACAGCCAATGCCTTTGTTCGAACCGAAAGCTGATCCAACGAATACAAGCGCTCGATGGACACAGTGGATTCAACGTTTTAACACATATTTAGTCGCTTCAAATGTGAAGGACACTGCACGTAAAAGAGCACTATTATTGTATCAAGCTGGACCTGAAGTTCACGAGATATTCAAAACATTGCCTGACACAGGAGATGAAAAAAATTACGAAGCTGCTGTCAATGCCCTCACTGCATATTTTGAACCAGAAAAAAATCGAATCTATCAAACATATATGTTTAGACAAGCATCTCAACAAGATAATGAAACCATCGACGAATTTCACACACGCTTGAGACGATTAGCAAAACATTGTGAGTTCGTGGATGTTGAATTCGAAATCAAAATGCAAATTGTGTGCAACGGTACATCCTCGAGACTTCGTAAGAAAGCGTTAAAAGAAAGCAATTATTCACTCAAAGATATGTTGATTGATGGTCGAAAATCAGAAACCTGCAGTGCACAAGCCAGTGGCATGGAAGAGAAATTTAAGGGTGTACAACTTAATCAAGTTGAGAAAAAACCTGCTCAATCTAAGTGCTATAACTGTGGATTTGCTTACCCTCATTTGGATCGTCCTTGTCCGGCCGCAAATTCAACTTGTAACTCGTGTGGCATACTTGGTCATTTCTCTAGAGTGTGTCGAAAGAAAGAATCGCGTCGTTTTTCCAAGCCACAAATAGCACAAGAATCGCCTCGACAACGAGAACAACCAAAAGAGCCGTTTAAATTTGAAACCATGAGAAACAAGCGAAGAAATCGTGTACGGGCTGTCAACAAACATCTCGATTCATCGACGGAGACCAGTTCTGAGGAAGATTATGTTTATAATGTGGAAAACAAAACCGACCCAAAGACGAGAGCAAAAATACGAGTTAATTCTGTTGAAATCAATTTCATTGTTGACACGGGAGCGACAGTTGACGTTATCGACTCCAAAACTTATGATCGCCTCAAATCCAGCGTCAAATTATGCAAAAGTACGACCAAGATATTCGCTTATGGTTCAAACAAACCACTACCTCTTAAAGGTGAATTTCAGGCAACGGTAGAATCGAACAAACGTTATACTGTTTCCGTTATTCATGTTGTCGAAGGCGGCTCTGGAAATCTACTTAGTGCGAAAACCGCTCAAGATTTGGCATTAATTCAATTAGTAAACAAGGTCACGGAACTTGAAACGCCGCCGAAACCGGAAGTCTCTAAACCGGAAGTTTCTAAACCGGAAACTCAGCCCATACTGCCCGGAAACACGGATAAACAGCAGCCAATGTCTCGTGCATCGACGCCAAAATGCAAAGACCATGAGATCCAGAAGATTATTGATAAATACGCAACTGTTTTCGCTGGTGAAGGGAAATTGAACACTCAACAAGTCGGGCTACATATTAATGAGGATATTAAACCAGTAGTTCAACCGCAGCGTCGTATACCATACCATATACGCAATGACGTATCAAAGGCGTTGCAGAAATTGGTTGCGGAAGATATGATCGAAAAAGTATGTGACCAACCTACCCCGTGGATTTCGCCAATTGTGTGTACCCCAAAGAAGGACGGTGGAACACGAATCTGTGTTGACATGCGAGCAGCCAACCAAGCGATTAAACGAGAAAGACACATTATGCCAACGCTTTCTGATTTCCGTGCGGAAATGAATGGATCAAAATATTTTTCAAAAATTGATCTCAAACAGGCGTACCATCAACTGGAATTGAAAGAAGAAAGTCGGTACATAACTACATTCTCGACGCACGAAGGCCTATTTCGCTACAAACGACTGAACTACGGAACGAACAGTGCGCCAGAACTTTTTCAGAACATTTTGCAACAAAATCTTAGTGACATTCGTGGAGTAAAGAATATTGCAGATGACATCATTGTTCACGGGAAAACGCGAAAGCAACATGACGAATCATTAGAGAACTGTTTGAAACGACTGGCTCAACTCAACTTAAAAGCGAAACCTGAGAAGTGTAGTTTCCTGCGCGACGAAATTAATTTCTACGGTTTAATTTTTACGGCAAATGGAACAAGACCAGATCCAGCAAGAATTGACAACTTAGTCAGAGTCAGTGCTCCGAAGAATGCCAGCGAAGTACGTAGTTTCTTGGGTTTGGCGAACACGTGTCGTGAGTATGTGCCAGAGTACGCCGTAATTACTACACCATTGCGGGATCTAACAAAGAAAAGTGTTGTTTTTACTTGGAACCACACCCACCAAAGAGCCTTTGAGCAGATTAAAAAGAAACTGACACATGCCCCTACCATGGCATACTTTGATACAGAGAAGAGAAGCTTGCTTATTGTTGATGGATCCCCGCTCGGAATTTGTGCTATTTTAGCACAACGTGAGAAGTCAGGAGAGTTGTATCGCATTATCTCCTACGCAAGCAGAGCCCTGTCTCCAGTCGAAAGTCGATATTCACAGACTGACATCGAAGGGTTGAGCCTAGTGTGGGGGATAGAACATTTCCGATTGTTTCTTCTGGGTACTGAATTCGATGTTTATACTGACCACAAAGCTCTAGAAGCAATCTTCAATAATCCAAGATCAAAACCCCCAGCTCGTATTGAACGCTGGATGCTACGACTGCAACCGTATAACTTCCGTGTGATTTACAAGAAAGGAACAATTAATGAAGCCGATTACCTGAGCCGTCATCCTACCACCATTCAACGAAAAACTACAATCGAAGAAAAGATTGCAGATAATTATGTGAACTACATCATTAACAATGCTGTACCAAAGTCAATGACACTTCAAGAAATCAAGGAAGCCACCTTGTCGGACACCATTCTAAAGAAAGTTTTAGAATGCTTGAAATCGGGGAAATGGGAGGAGGATGTGGAACTGAAAGCTTACCAAATGTGCGCGGAAGAACTAACAGCAACGAAAACAGGAGACCTTCTTCTCAAGGGCAGCAGAATTGTTATACCAAAAGCGCTACAAGACCGTGCGACGCAACTCGGACATGTCGGACACCAAGGAATAGAAAAGACTAAGGCGTTATTGAGAGAAAAAATATGGTATCCTGGGATGGATGGTAAAGTAAAGATCCTCGTTGAAAACTGTGTTGCCTGCCAAGCTGTTGGTCCAAGTAATCCTCCTGAACCTATGAGAATCACTCCTACAGCGACGGAGCCATGGCAAAGCTTAGCAATCGATTTTTATGGCCCTATACCACACAGTGGACAATACTTACTTGTCGTGACTGACACATACTCTAAGTTTCCAGAAGTA